TTAGACTATGGCTCATATGAGGCATGAGTTGCAAGATTAGAACACCAGGAGTACATGTCCGAAACATGTGATCCTTGACGTAGGGAACAGCAAGGGGAGGAACGTTGATTACAAGGAACTCTCACATGTCCTCAGTCATTTCTTCATGCGCCCACTAGACTGCCCCGTGGGCATCATGTCAGCAAAAAGTAGCGACGGCTTGGACGGCTTGACCTGAGATACTAGGGTTTAAGGTTTGGGGGAATGGAGGAATGGAAAATAAAAGAATGGAAAATAAAATGGACACTGCGATTTAGGGACTTGTTAAGTTTACAGGGATACGAATGGAGAAGAGAATCGAATCTACTGTTCCAATGGAGAATCATGGAGAAGAAAACGGAAAGCGAAACGGAAACTAGGGCTGTATATAGGGGTAGGGAATGAACGAATGGAAGAGAAAAATGTAAAAACTACCGTATTACATTATGGCTCCTGTAAACAACATCAGACATCTTAGAAATCACCATTAGGATCCACGATCCCAACTGCAGGGGTAACAAGAAAAGCCCGTAGGACCAACAGACGATCAAGGAGCAAGTGCGCGAAAATCTTCGAACTCCTTGGTCAGGGGCTGGAAACATCGCTTAAGATCTTCTGGCTCTAAAGTTGAGAGCAAGACTGAATTCACACCTTGCAATCAATCACAAAGAACTCTTTAGCACTATGGATAAGGGTTACTTCTTTGCTCCCACCTTAGAGACAAACAGCAAGAGGTCTGAGCAGCGCACCAGCTCTTGGCCATCAGGCATGCCATCAAGCAAGCGGTTGATCCGTGCAGGGCTCTTGCCCATTTCTTGGAGAGCTTGCGCAAGCTCTTGCTTCCTGAGACGGGCTGGGCGACAAGGATAGAACCTTCTTTGCAAACAAGTATAGCACACACGTTTTGAGCACCTGTGTTTGCAAACAAGTATACATGGGGACTCTACATCAATGTCTCAAATTGGACGAAACCGGAACATGTCACTGCACATCATTTCAGGAGCAGTCTGATCACAGAAATTTTGATTCTAAACCTGACCCTTTGCATCATTTAATCTCCTGTCAAAACCACCCTTGTGTCTACTGCTCTGTGGGGAAACACCACCTCTTGCGATGATATGTAACACTTACAGAGTTGAATCTCCAAGCATGTATTTGCTGGAAGTCACAAAGGCACTGCTGAGGCCAGTGGTGACTGCACAACAGTAAGGACCATAGATAGACAACGCGGCTTCGCAAGAAGCAGAAGTTGCACCACTGTATGGCAAAAATGGAGGATACTGTACCGCTGGAGCGCTCTTCCTCTAACCACCCTAAGCTGTAGGAAATCCCAAAAAACGACGCTACCGGAGACAAGGCGTGCACTTTCTTCTAAGACACCTTGCAGAGGGGTCCCGAACGTGACGCTTTGTCCTGTCCTACGCAAAGCTTCACAAGCATAAACTATCACCATAGACCCCCAACCCTGAATCTCTAAACCCTTGCATGCCTGATGTCCCGATATCCATGAATGCGCATGTCCTACATACCTGATATTCCTAAATTCCTAGATTCCTGCTATCCTGACGTTCGTGATATCTTTTAATCCGTAGCTGCCTGGATCCCTATATAGCTGACATGAATAGGGCGTTTTGCTTTCTCCGATCCAGTAAATAAACACACCAATGTTCGTAATCAACACTATATACACTCACCAACAGCCTAGAATGAAAACAACCTGACCTAACATTAAACGCATCTATCCCTACAATCCCTACATCACCCCTATGGAAGACCCTATATAGCTCCTGCCTCATATCCCTCAATCCCTAATGTCTCAAGTCTCTTGCCCCTTCTGCCAGGCTGCTCGAGCTTTCCACTCCTGTCCTCTGCATTATCAGCTCAATTGTAAATGCGGGTTTATGTCCACACGTGTACCTGTGTACCTATGTACCTGCGTACCTACATACATAAATACATACATACATGCATACATGCATGCATACATACATACGTACATACATATACGCGTATATACATACACAGGGCTAAAAATATTTGGGTACATTACTAGGTTGATACA